TATCTATTCTAAAATTTATAAATACAGCAACTATAAAATGAATGATAAGAAGAACCACAAAGTATTTTCCATTGTTGGACCTGTTGCTATTGATAAACCTATCCCTCTCCTGAGCGAAAACTATATTATTAGCAGTTAAGAGTATCACATGTGTTGGTTTTCTTCTCCTTCATCTGCCTCCGGAATTTAAAAACTCCCTAGAAATTCTAAGCATGCTTATAGTTTGTAAAACATAGAAATATCTCTGTGAGGTTCAGTATTCATTCAGTCTCAAGGGTTTTGTGAAGTTTAAATTAATTAATGTCTGGTAACCAATCTGAAATCCTTAGATGAAAGGATCTGTACAGGCCAAATTCTGATCTACCCAAAGCAGCTTACATTGAAAGTGGCTTCAACATATTCTGGTACAAAAAATACCAATGAATCCTAATAATTTATTATTACACTACAAAATCAGTTCAGTTTACAACGCAAACCAGAAATTTGCTAACTGCAAGCATGGCAAATCCACAGTGGGATACGAAAGCCTTCGTGGTTTCCTTCTGCCTCCATAATTAAGACACTGCAATCAAAGCTTAGCTGATGATTTGTTGGTAATGTGTGAACTGAAAAGGAACCAAGATCCCTCAGAGAGAGGTGACCTGTGCAGGAACAGCCTCAGACAAAAGTCCTCCTTAGAAGGACGGGAATAGATTTGGGCAGGTGCAGACTTGTCAAGTCTCACATACTGACGGTGAGATTTAGGCAGACTCTCCCCTCACATTCCCTAGCAGAGGGATGCTTCTCCCAGCAAATTATTATCCTCTTTTTTAGGCATGGAATTGATATACATTGTCAATGACTTCTCACAGGTAATCTGTGAGACAGCAAGGAATTCAACACAGGCCTTCTGTATCCTAGAGTTAAAACTATCTTTAAGAGTGTGCCAAGAGGTGAATCTTTAGACTTTAATCCTGCTGTGCCAGGAAGCTAGGGATCCTCCTTGACACACAAAAATCTTTTGTAAGTCAAAGGCAAAATCCAAAGGCTACACCAGTGGCACTATTTCTGTTCAGTTCTCTCCACGAAGAGGTCTGCCAGGATGCTCCACAATTAAGAAAGGCAAAAACAGAGGCCAAAGTATTGCTCAGTGTTGACTGCAACTGGATTAACCCATAGCAACACTAAGCCTGATTATTTCTTCCTTTGTCCCTTCCTGCACTATATATCAAGCAGAAAACAGACATAAAGGCCTATTAGGCCAACTGTAAAAGCAGCATATCTGAGGAATGGACTGTATTCCTTAGGGTTCCCAAAACCAAAAGTTAAAATTAAAAAGAGAGAGGTTTACTTTTAATAATCTGCTTTTGTATCATGCACTTGGATGAGTTGCACCATTCTCAGTTAAGTAATCAGAAGTAGAAGGGATATTCTGATCAAGGGAGAAATGCAGAAATAAACTCCCAAACTTCATAATCAGCTGACTCATCATTAAATTAGCACAAATCACTTTGCTATAACAGATATTTTTCATTTCAAATATTGCAACAGGGCCCTCAAAAAGTCAAACAACAGCTTTAAGGAAAACAGACTATGAAATATAATTTGCCATCTACTGTGAATTAATGTAAATATTACCTATTGCTATAAATTTTAACCAGAAGTAATCACTTTGCTCTAAAGCACCGATTCCCAGAAGTGAGATTACAGTGCTTTTCTGTCTGCAATTCCCAATTATGCTCAAACTTCTGCAAGAAAAGTGCTTTTTTTATTACAACGAGATCTAAGATTTAAAATTGGATATTTTTGTCTCATGCATCACCAGCAGTAATAAAGGCTGTGGGTGTCCAAATGTTTCCCAAGTGACACCTGTGCGTGTTAGGCTCCATTCAGTTTCTTCCTCCTATGTCACTTCTGCATATCCCCCTTAGCAATAAAACTGCAATTTTTAATCAATAGGCCTTAAGTGCATTAGAAAGCTGAGTCAGTATCAATATCCTATTATTATTCCATCTGCCTTCCAAAGATTTGTGTAACTCTTTGGAACTTCAATAGACTATTCTGATGATAATGAATGAAAAGAGAATGAAATACATCTCTCTCACCTACATTCATTTATACATCTACAAAGAATAAAAGTTATGACAAATACAGCAGACAAAATTCTAAATCCTCAGCAAAACACAACTGCTGAGTAAGGTGATGCCTTTCTCACAAAATTTATTTCAGGATAGCACTGCATGTTAAATAGCAAATATGGATAGGTCTCTAAGTGTGTATGGATAGTCAACAGGAAAAACCCTACGACTGAATAAAATACATAAATCACAGATATCAGAGTCAGTATGAGAGTCTTGGTAAACTCTGAAAGAGGAAATTACTAAAACAGCAGATTAAAATGAACAGATATATGCAGTCAGCCCAAGAGCAAAATGCTGGTATGTCCTATGTACTCTCATCTATCTTACCATTTGTTGATAAAAGTGAGTGAGCTGCATTTTGCTGTGGTAACCACTTGATCTTGTTTATTTTTTCTTCTATCTCCAAGCTCTTCAAATAATCAAATTCAGGTTCATGGCTCTGGAAAGTGCTGTAAACATTGTACTCTCCCTGATTGTAAGGCTCATTTTTACTCTATGGAGAACAAGAACAACAAAAACGTGTGGTTTATGATGGCAATACATCTCCATCTCTTAGGAAAGGAGTATAAGCAGCTTTATAAAAATAAAAATATTGAAAGTGTAATTTAATTTCTCATTTAAAACATGATATTGACAGATTTGTTTCTAAAGGAATGGAATTTCCTGTAAGTATTGAAGCAATATTTAATAAAAGACAGACTTTTTTGAAGAAACATTGATTGTTCAGGAAAGCTGACTACAAAAGATACTGCAGGTGAACTGAACTTAAAAGTAATGCATAAAGGTATCACGGCAAAGGCATTGTTTTAAATGGAACGGTTCCATCAAACAGGCAAGAGCTATTAAAACAATGTAGAAGTAAAACAAAAAAAACCCCACAATCTCTTTTTTTCTTAGCTTAGAATTTTGGAGCTTTGAAGCATTTTTGTTTAGGTCAGCAAACTTCTGAGTAAAAGATCCTTACTTCCTCTCCAAAGAGGTGACATTCTGTTTTACTGAATCTTGAGATTATAAACAAGCTTGTTAGTTAGATCAAATTAAAGTATTAAAAATAAAGCCAGGTTTTAGGAAGCTGCTAAAGACTACACTGGTAACTCACATACCTCAGGTTCCCTTTGGAATATAACAACCCGACCCCCCTTGTCACCAGTAGCCAGCAGTTCTCCAGTGTGGTTGAACTCAACTGTAGAAATAATATCAGCTGGAGGGAAAAGAGAAAAAAGGCAACTTTTAGACTGCTACTAAACCAAAAAGCCATTAGAAATATCGAGCACTCCACAAGAAAAAAGAAAAATGCAACAAATGAGGGATTTGAAGGAACACAGATGAATTCAACAGCAAGTCACTAATGGAAACAGGCTGCATGCCATTACAGTCTGAGGGTACTACACAGTGAAACAAGTGCAAACATAACGAAGCAAATTGGTGTTTCCAGCACATCTGCAGTTCGAGAGTGGAGATCTCTGGAGAGGTTATGCTTCAAGAAGAGCAATCTCAGGCTGCTACAAAGCTTTTTTTAGTACTGGAAATAGCAACAGCCTCCTATTTCCTCTAGTAAGGACCAGCATAACATCTCTGTCCTGTTATATGTATTATATACTCTTCACTCTTTATGAGTGTTTTAATATAACCCCAAAGCACTAGTTTCCTCAAATATGTGTTTGAGCCAAGAGTGCAAAAGCAAAGTACACGTAGCTTGTCCTACCACAGAATGAAGGCTAGACCAGAACTGCTCCCTGTGCAATGCTGGCAAGAGCCCATTCAAATCATCGTTTTCAGTAAATCATTTCAGCACCACAAAAATGTGTCATCAGAAGATAAAGATTCCAGTCTCTTCTTTTTTCTAATTTTCAACAATTCCCTTTCCCTAAGCAATTGTATCAGCTTATACAAGAAACCTCATCAAAACCTGAGGCCAGTCTTGAGTACAAATTACTATACATCAGGATGGGAAGGGAGAAACAGACTGTAATAGCAAAAGAACCGCTTCTTCTGCTTGCATAACAGTAAATGCTAGAATCATAATCCACAGTTAATCCTACACTATTAGCATAATTTAAATTAAAATGCCTAGTGCAATAGTAAATTAAGAAGCCATCATATATACAATCACAGACAAATGCAGGGTATTACTCAGAGATGGCATGTATGAATCCTCCATAATGATCAGTATTCACTCATCAGAAGCGCGGGCCAGATTTTAGGAAGCGGCAGTAGTTAGCAGCTCCCCTTTAGGCATAAAAAGCTGTGGTTTTCAAACACGTTCATCATCCAGCAGTTTATACCGAGAACAATGAGGCAACAGTGGGGTAAGCTCTTTTGAAAACCTAGCCCCAAATGAGTTCACTAAAATTCAAAGGAACTGAAATAACAAGTGGATGTACCATTTACTTGATACATTTTATGAATTGAAAACATCTGTTCCTATTATTCTTTTAATAAACTAGCAGTTTGAGTAGAAAGCTTCTACTGCCAGTAGCTCTCATCAGCAACGCAGCCATCCAAAAGCCAGATTCTTACTGGAAGGTTGGAAACATCTTGTCTCAACATCTAAAAAAGGAAAATTTTACCCTAATCATAGTAAAGAAAAATATATCTTTTTTTAAGAAATCTTCACCATTAAATTGTTGTCCTGTCTAAAAAATAAAAACCAAAACCAAACCAACCAACCAACCAAAAACCCCAAACTTTCCTCTTTTTTTCCTCTACATACTGCATACATAAAGGAGGAAGGGGGAATCATAAAGCATCTATATAATTTTCTTTTTTTGCTGAATAAGGTGTATGGACATGTAGACTTCGAGAAAAACCGAACGTGACATCTTAAAATGTTTTGGGCCTGAACCCAAAGCTTCTCAAAGTTAATGGCATTTGATTTTTATGCGGACTTCCACAGACTGTGTATTTTATTGGCAATTATCCCAAAAGCCCTAGTCTTACGAGAGCACAGGAAGAGCACAGAGACTCAGCTTTTGGTTGGTGATGACCTGGGGCTCGGGATGGGTTGAGCTTGACCTAAAAAACTGCATTTTTTAAAATCTAAAAATCTAATTGACTTTTCTGGCATGTAAAGTTCATTTGTAGTGCTTCCAGTGGAAGAATATTTTTTGGCTATTTTGTCCTTATACTGCAAAATGCATGCTGATAGTAGGTGCAGGCTTCTGCTTATAAAGTAATACTTGCTATAATACTATAATTAATACTATTAATATAATACCAATACTATAACTATATTAATAATATAAATAATACTATAAAATAAAGTAAGACATCTAAAGCTGTATCTTGCCCTAGCCATACAGGCGGTACTGCAGAAGGCTCATACTGACAGTACTTCTAGAATGGAACTCTTACCTTAAGCATGCACTGAGGGAGAAGGGTAAATGCAGAGGAGAGGAATGTAATAGCTACTAAAATAGCTATTAAAATACATGTGTATTTGTTTGAGTATGTGTAATGCACACAGGATTTTCCCAACAAGACACAAATGAAACAGCTAAAATAATTGTGTGTAAAAGGAATGAATGGCATTTGAACTTACATGTGTGAATACACTTGTTACTGGACTGGAATACTTTCACAGCGGCATAAAATACTCTTCTCTGTCACAAAATGTTATATTGCACTTTACAGAGGCCATGAGGCAGTCAGTGAAGTCCACAGGAGTATTTGCACAGACTTCAACAGTAAATGAATCAGGGTTATAATAAAACAGCTCTGCATTTTGCCATTATATTGCATTTTTCATTAAAGCATTGTGTGTGGTTAAGTGATTATTGTCTAACGAAAAGCAGCTAAAACATTAAGTATCTGTGGGCAGTGTGTGATTATGTGGTTCTGAGGCAAAATTCTCTCTCCCTTCCAGATGCATCTCTCCTTTCTATGAGAAAAAATAATTCTGAACTGGAAGCTACCTATCATTTTTAAATTAACTTGTTCTGAAAAAGAGCAGATCCAATATTCCAACCTGAGAGGCTATGCAACTTGTCAGTGAAAAAATTATCCTTGAATTGGAAAATCACTTTTATTGATCCTGTAAATAACAGCTGAAAATAACAGAAAAAAAAATCTTATCCAGCATATCTATTCGGCAGGCGAACATTAGAGATGCTGTTTTCATAAAAAAGATTAACCAGGCTGGCTCTTCCTAAGACAGAGGAGGTAGGTACAGAATCAATCAACAAAGCTCTCCACACCCTCCTGCAGAACACTCCCCTACGTATTTATCAGTGCTGTAACAACATCAGCCACCACGGCCCCATCCTGCAGATTCTGCCATTGGAAAATGGCCCCCAGAGCATCCGGAGCAGTGAACGACCGATTTCAGCCTCTCCAGGATACACCAATGCTCAGCAGTGGAAGAGCTGGTGAATTTGCATGTGCAGTGAGCTCTTGGCAAGGGATGGCAGAGATGAAAGACTCTTTTCAGCTTTCTTCTGCACTGCACCTTCCATATCTCTGCTGGCTGTGCCAAGCTTTGCACTAACGATCAGGATTAACAGAGACAGAGATAATTTACCTATTAAGAACAGTTCTGAGTAATCTCAATGCCAATGGGCAAATGCTTCCAATCAGATTGCAAATCCCAACATTCATCCAATAAATGTACACAAACTTGGATTTAAGTCATGATGCTCAACATTTTCACTCAGTTAAAAAGCACAACTTGGACACGCAAAATACAGATGGTGACAGAGAAAAGCAAACCAAAAACCTTCAAAGGCTGAAAATACTCCAGGGGAGTTTACACCTGATCATCTCTTCCACATCCTGACACAGCAAATTGTTCCAGCAGGTGCCTTATAAACTTCGTTCCCCTGACTAATTTTACATATGCACAGGAAGACATCACATTACTCTACAGCTTAAGCTGGCAGGAAGTTTTTCCTGATCTGGCCTGAAGTATTTCATTCCCTGACTCCTAGTCACCACTGACCTTTTGTACCTCATTAACTAATTCCTCTGCAGCTTCACAATTCGAACTCTCTAAAAATGTGCTGAATGGCAATGTTGTGCCCAACAGCTGCTGCGTAGATATATTCAGCTTTTCTAATAGATCGAAATATATCAGTGTACATTTGTGCACATGAAAGTACCTCTAGCTGATTGCACTGCTCTTCCCTCAACTTCATGAGTACGGCTCCAGCACTAGTGCAAGCAAATGGATCCTCCAGCAGCCCTTCCTCAGGCTCAGTGTGGGGTGGGATGAAACAAAGGTTGGTACACGTAGCCCAACTTAATTCTGGCCATTATTTCACACCATCACATATTTTTGGATGTTCACTTTCTAGCCTCTTACAGGTTTATTTTAAGGGTTTTTAATAGCTTATTCATACATAACACAAACAGGTCCAAAAACTTTTACAATAATTAGAAAAGCCTTATAATTTTTGCATCATTTTGGGGCACTCTAGCATAACTGTGTGCCACTTTCCACTAGTATGCACTCAGTGAAGCAAAATCTGAACATAGTTACTCATCTTCATACAGCCTTTTGGACAGAAATCTCAAGCAACTCTAAGAAAATTTGAACTATAATTTTCTGTTACTTTTACTAAGAATTTCTGCCTTTCTGGGGCCTTTCATTTGAAGGCTCTGGTATACTTTATTTTGCTTCAGAAGATCAGGAAAGCAAAGAAAATTTCAAAACTATTTCACCCAGCGTTTTGGACAGCAGTGGCGAGTTTTGAGGGCAAACAACATCACGCAACGGTACAGGGAAAAGAAGATCAGAGAATATAATAGTCTGTTGAATTTCAGTGTAATCCTAATAGAGAATTAAGGAAAAATAATCCTGATAGAGAATTCCAGCCTGAACAGGTCAGAACTTCCCCTCTATATCCCATCCATCACCATCAGCATGGCAGCATTGTTGGTCTGAGCTGACCGAATTGGCATCAAAGTCAGGTTTTGCTGCACGTGTTTTCCCTGTGGCTAGTGGGCGATCTTGCAGTCTATGTATTTCAACCAAGTTCTGACCTGGCCTAACCTTGGCGTGTGAAATCCAGTAAGATCACAGCACAGTCTGGCATGGCTGCAAGCGATGCTCAGTCACACTGATACCAGAGTCCCCGAGGAGCACAATCTGGAAGAAACAACAAAGAAGCTCACAACAAAGCGAGCCATAAAACAAAAGGACAAATGGTGGATAAAAGAGGAGCAGTATTACAGCACCTCATGTGAAGAGAAGGCCACCACAATGAGCTATGTTATCAGAATTTAGTTTAGACTTGGGGAAAAAAAAAAGATGGAAAGAAAAAGCCTGTTACCCTTTTTTCTAAGCTGAAGTTTCAAAGGTTTCCCCCCCACAAGCAGCTAGGAAACAAGGTATACAAAACCTCCAAGGTATGAGGGTCAGGTGAACCCTTCTTTTCTGAAATAGCTGGCAGAGATTCTTGACAACAGAAAGATTTTCTACTCGAAGCAGTAGACTCCGTAACACGCATGCATTCTGCTTCACAGCAGTGTTATTCACCATCTTGGATCCAGGGATTGTGTGACACCAGAAACCACCTCTCAAAATTTATGTAAACGTAATGCAAAATCTTGCACATCACACTGTCCACCTTGGCTGGGTCAGAAACGTAGTGCTAAAAGCCAACACACCAGAAAGCCAACTTCAGTCTACTGGATGACAAGACATTTTGTTCACTTACACACAAACTACCAGATCTCCAAGTCACCAAAACAACCTCAGATACAGCCAGTACACAGTTGGGTGGCTGCATGAGACGGACAGATGAGAGAAGAACAGAGCACAAGGACGAGATGGAGAGAGAAAGGGAGAGAACATGTGAACATATTCAAAAGAGCAAGTGCTTGTGAAAGGACATAAGAGCATATGAGAGAGCATATGCACACATGGGAGATTGAGAGAGAATGAAAGAGCACAGCAGAAGATGAGAAAGTAGTTTGAAATGAAGGATCTATCTGCCCTTTGCCCCTGGGATTGTCACCCTGGCAAATCTTTTACTTTGCTTTTTTTCTCTCGTTTATTATGGCTTTAAAATCTGATGGAGTTTGTGTGTAAAACAGTAAGTGTTTGCTCCATGTTAGATATATGGGCAATGCAAACTAAATAGGAAGCTGCTTTTGGCCAAAACAAACTTTGAAGATAGATGCCAATAGTGTAAGTGCTTCGGGGATCAGTGAAACAAGGTGATCAATCAGTAACAGAATGAAATCCAGAGATGTGTGTCCCTACGCTTCATGCGGTTGTTTTCCTAACTGACACCTTGCCTGGCTTCATTGCTAGCAAGGACAAATGTATCAAGGGCAAAATCCAAGCAGCCCCATTTGATCCTGTCAAGAACAAGGAAGCTTATCGGGGTAAATATCACCTTTCTTCCAGAGTATATCAATCTCTTCCTGATGTGAAATCCAAAACCACAGGGTCAAATGCTGAACAGCTCTTGAAAGGCTGCTTGAAACAAGAACCCTTCAGCTGGGGTTGGTAGTAAATAATAGTAAAAAAAAAGTAACACATTTCCTAACCTCAAATCCTGGCAAACATTGAGCAGATCTTTCCCTTTTTTCCATCTTCAATCTCTAGCTTCTAGAGTTTAGAACTGCTACTACACATACACACCTCAGTGGCCTGCATCAGCCTTGACCATCACGATACCGCTGAGTTTTGCAGATCCATGCATCCCTATATCCTCAGGGACTGAGGAAAGCACCTTCCCATTCAGAACATTTGAATGTAGGTTCAGTGCTCATTCAAAGAGAAAATTTAGAACCTAAAAACCAAAGCCAAAATTTGCAACCCTCTTTGATCACCTATAGCCACTGTGATTTACTGTTTCTAGCCTTGAACTTTAACAGAGTTGAGTTTTTTTCTCCAATATTTTTGTGTTTATTTTAAGAGCTTAGAAAATGTTTTCAACAGCTTTTTAATCACATGCTAATTTCTAGCTGTATTTCTCAAATTAGAAAACCAGGAAATGACATCCAATTATTGGAGCACAGTCAATGCAAAAAAAGTTTTTTTGCCTACAGCACAAATATGTAAAATAGATTATCTGGGCTCTGTGCTAAAAACACTTCACACTGAATACCAGTCACTGAGATTCAGATTTTTGTAAAGTGACCCCCCACACACTTCTATTCCTAATTTAAAATCTCAAAGCCCTTATTTCAGAGGTTCTGGCACCCACCTCCCTCCTGCGGAGTGCAAGAGACTTGACCTTCTGCCCACTGAGGTAAATGGAAAGTTTCCCACTAATTCACTGGGAAATAAGGTCAAGGAACATTTGTCAGATGTGGTGTAGCTGAAAATTAGGACACATTACTTGAAGTTTTGGCTACAGTTTACATGTACTTCAGTTTCTTCATGTTCAAGGTGACCTGCTTAGATCAGAGAGACTTCGCAAAGCTCCGGTCGTCAGCTCTCCAGAACATTACTTAACATTAATGTTATCCTTACTGAAGTCTCTAAGTGCACTACTTGTGCCTTCAGAATCTGAAACACTCTATGGACTGAAAATGCTTGCTACAACTCCTTTTAATACCTATTTCAGGGCTCCCAAATAGTGGTACTGCATCACCTGCAGTAACCAAGCAGCCTCTCAGGGCCTGGCAGACCTCCCTGTGTACCTACAGGCAACGCAGGGGCTGACTCTGCTTCTGCAGGTACCTCAGCTGCCGGGGATGTCCATAGCGACCGAGCCTGGGAAGCACTGACCCCTCCATCCTGTTCAACCTCCACAAACTGGAAAACACACTAGAAAGCCCATCACCTTCTGTAATTCTAAGCCATTTGATAACACTGCTCATATGCATTCTTACAAGCAACACTTAGAATTAAGAAAACCGCGGATCAATCTCTGGTTTCGCATAAAGATACAAACAAAAAGCTTCTGAATTTCACATCCCCCAAAAGCTCCTTCACAGTTTCTCCATGTAACCTCCATGTAACACACTAGCAATTTATTTTTCTGAGATTTCTGGGAAAAAATATCCAGCCGGACACTTCTTTGTTTCTTTCTGTGTTTGCTGTCAGATGAGGCAGCCATCTATGCTAAGAATTCAGCAACAGGCTTAAAACACTTCATAAACATTAGTGCGATTAGGAAACCTACCAGTCCACTCCTCTTATCAACCAACACTGAAGGGCAAAAAGGAAAATAATCACCATGGGCATCACATCATGTATTTACCACTTTCAGAGTGGGGTTTAAACTGGTACTCACAGAAGGATGCCTGCCTGAGCTGGGAGCTTCTGCTCAGCCCCACATTACTTCCCACTAAGGAGTCACACCGCCTGGCTGCCAGCAAAAGACAGATTAGAAATGGTGCTGCCAAGTGTTAAAAATGCTAGGCAACCGGGTTTTATTGAGAGCACAGAAAGACCTTGAACCTCATCCCTCATTTCTGAGCAAATAAATGCCAAAAATGGAAAGTGTACAAATTATTAAAATATACTGATTTTTCTTTCACTGTATGATTATGTGATTATGCTTGCGCAGAATAACTGCAATGATCTACAGTGAGAAAACATCGAGTTTGGCTCAAAGGCTATTATAAAACAAGGACAAAGAAACCCCACCCATATTTAGAATTTTAAAGGAAAATCATTAGTTTCAAATATATCTAAGAGTAATGAAAAGTCATCCAAATTTTACAAGCAATCCTGAAGAACCAGATTCAATATGGATGTTATTTCCCATGTATTACATACAAACTTCAATAGAATTTCACTGCCAGCTGGTTCTGAATTTTTTTTTTTCTCCCTTAACTGAGCAATTAAATTCCAGAAGCAAAGCTCTTGGTAATTCTGTCACAGCAGTTCTCACGTTCAAAGTGCTTTCCTGGCATTAAACCACCCAGCAACCCAAGGAAGGCAGTGAGGAAATGTTAGCATTCACATTTTACACAAAGGAAAAAATGAAACAGATCCTCCAGAGTTTTTATCTAAGATCAGAGCAGCAGTTTTGATTATACACATACTAAGGGACAGATAATCCAGGCTGCGGCTCACTGAAACATTTCTATTTAATAAAGCTCTTAATCACTTGTCTAGAGACTTAAATGTTCCTGCATTCAGTTCAAATGAGTGTACATGTTGCTAAATGAATATACTGATGGAGCCTTAACAAACAAAGCCTCACAATACCATGTACCAAGGAAGAAAAAGCCCCACCGAGCAGACTTTTGGGTGAAGCGGCAGGGACATAACCTTAAAAATCATGAAGGGCTGGAGCTAGGAGCTGGACCAGAGCCAGAGTCCTTAAGCGCAGAGCAATGACAAGGAAAGCAGAGGCGCAGCAGCCACATCGGCACTGGTAAATGAAGGGGAGCTCCAGGACGTTCTCGGGCTTTGCAGCGCTATGATTCACACAGCTAAATTGCTGAGAGTGGACCTTGACAGGCTTTTGGCTGTGATAAATTGTTCTCCCCCAAACAGCACTTCGACATGGGTCAGGGTTTATCGCAAGCCGGGGACGTTTCTCAATAGGTAGCACGCACGCAGCCACCATGTTTTGGAGACTGGAATGTCACCCTCCCAGGCACCCACCCCTCCATGTCAGCAGCGCTCCCGAACACACGGTTTACTCAGTACTTAGTGACTGCAACTCACAGGTGTCAGTGTTGCTCGTAGACCACACTCACACTCTGCTATGTTGAATTATATTAGAGCGTTCTGCTACAACTGGCAGAGGCTGGGGTTTCCCAGAGCACAAGGGGCTCTGGAGTCTGTAAAACTAGCACAGGGATAACAAAACGCATTTGCTTTTCTCAGTCTTAACGCACGAGGGTAGATGGCAGTGTTTAAATGTACCCATCAGACACTTTGACTATAGGACCCAAATAAGCTATATCCAAATACCGTGAGCAACATACAGCTCTAACTTACACACCACTGGACACCTCCTCTGTGACTCCCAGCAGTGGACCAGCAGGATAAGGTCACACACAGGCCTTGCTGGCTGTCAGGGGAGCCGATGCCAGGCCGTGTAGATACTCATCTAACATTAGCATCTGCTTGCTTGGCAGGCTCCAAAAGCAATTCGGCTGACAACTCTGAATTTGC